CTTTGTCTTAGCCCTAGCTTAGTGTTGGCTTAGATTTAGCTTAGCTTTAGCTTAGCTTTCGCTTAGCTTTAGCTTAGTGATAGCTTAGCTTCAGCTTAGATTTAGCTTAGCTTTAGCTTAGCCTTAGCTTAGATTTAGCTTAGTGTTAGCTGTAGCTTCAGCTTTAGCTTCAGCTTAGCTTTAGATTAGCTTTAGCTTAGCTTTAGCTTAGCTTTACCTTTAGCTTTAGCTTAGCTGTAGCTTAGCTTTAGCTTAGTGTTAGCTTAGCTTCAGCTTAGCTTTAGCTTAGCGTTAGCTTAGCTTCAGCTTAGTGATAGCTTAGCCTTAGCTTAGCTTTAGCTTAGCTTTAGCTTAGCTTCAGCTTAGTGTTAGCTTAGCTTTAGCTTAGCTTTAGCTTAGCTTCAGCTTAGTGTTAGCTTAGCTTTAGCTTAGTGTTAGCTTAGGTGTAGCTTAGCTTTAGCTTAGCTTTAGCTTAGCTTCAGCTTAGCTTTAGCTTAGCTTCAGCTTAGCTTTAGCTTAGCTTTAGCTTAGCTTTAGCTTAGCTGTAGCTTAGCTTTAACTTGGCTTCAGCTTAGCTTTAGCTTAGCTTTAGCTTAGCTTCAGCTCAGCTTTAGCTTAGCTTCAGTCTAGCTGTAGCTTAGCCTTAGCTTAGCTTTAGCTTAGCTTTCGCTTAGCTTCATCTTAGCTTTAGCTTAGCCTTAGCTCAGCTTTAGCTTAGCTTTAGCTTAGCTCTAGCTTAGCTTTAGCTTAGCTTTAGCTTAGCTTCATCTTCGCTTTAGCTTAGCGTTAGCTTAGTGTTAGCTTAGCCTTAGCCTTAGCTTCAGCTTAGCTTTAGCTTAGCTTCAGCTTAGCTTTAGCTTAGCTTCATCTTAGCTTTAGCTTAGCTTTAGCTTAGCTTTAGCTCAGCTTTACTGTTACTACTAATGCTGCTTTCCTAGGGGCTCCAACTCCTAGGTAGGGTCGCACTGGGATAATTATGTCTATGCAGTTTTCAGTTTCTCCGCAAAGGTCGCCAGGGGTCCCACCAGGACGGCGCGGGACGCTGAAGGCCCAGGGCCCTTTGAGAACCCGCGGTCGTGCCCGTGTTCCAACTCCAAGATTCAATCACCACGACCGACTCGGGTCCGCAGCACAAATCGCTGAAGCCCCAGCCGCTGCCCTCTGATGGGCCCGAACGTTCGGCATCTGAGCCCGGTTGGCCGCCAAGCGGACTCGAGAACGAGCCTGCTCCCAGACCCCTTACAGAGTCGAGACAAAAATCACAGCGGACGAATATTCGCGATGTTCGGCCTCCGGGGGCCCTCACCCGGCCCTGGGACCGTCAAAACCGACGTCGGGATGAAGGGCCCGTCCTGTGGAAGGGTTCCCAAAGATCCGACGTCGTGTTTATCTCAATACGGGGTCCCCAGAAGTCCCGACTCATTCCCCAGGACCCGTTTTCCATCCTGAGTCGTGCTTTGATGGTCCCGAGGCCCGGTAAGGGCCCCTAGAGGCTGAAAACTGTAAAGAACCTCCGTCCGGATTTTCCCAACCGTCTTGTGGTGTTGGGTCATCGTTTTGAAGAGACAGCGCCCCGCGTTCCTTCCTCCTCCCGCTGCTCCCTCCCTCCATCACGCATCATCGTCATCATCATCATCATCATCACCCTCACGAGGATCGTGGCCCCATAGGAGCTCCAACGAAGGCGCCAGTAGCAAAGAGCGCATGGCGGCCTCGGGCCATTTCGGCAAACCCCTCACAATAACCGTGGCCCTATGGGGAGCTCCCCCGAAGGCGCCACTAGCAAAGTGCGCATGGCGGCGTCGGGCAATTTCGGCACGCCCCTCACGAGGATCGTGGCCCCATAGAAACTCAACCGAAAGGGCCATTTGCGAAGTGCGCATGGCGGCCTCGGGCCGTTTCGGCACACCCCTCACGAGGATCGTGGCCTCGTAAGAACTCCACTGACAAAAAAACCAATAGCAAAGTGCGCATGGCGGCCTCGTGCCATCTCGGCACACCCCTCACGAGGACCGTGGCCCCGTGGGAGCTCCACCGAAGGCCCCAGTGGCGGAGTGCGCACGGAGGCCTCGGGCCATGTCGGCACACCCCTCACGAGGATCGTGGCCCCAGAGGGAGCTCCGCCGAAGGCGCCAGTGGCAGAGTGCGCATGGCGGCCTCGGGCCAGTCCGGCACACCCCCCACGAGGATCGTGGCCCCATCGGGAGCTCCACCGAAGGCCCCAGTGGCAGGGTTCGCACGGCGGCCACGGGCCATGTCGGCACGCCCCTCACGAGGATCGTGAGTCCATCGAGCTCCCCCGAAGGCGCCAATAGCAAATTGCGCATGGCGGCCTCGGGCCATTTCGGCACACCCCTCACGAGGATCATGGCCCCGTAGGGAGCTCCACCGACGGCGCCAACGGCAGGGTTTGCGCGGCGGCCTCGGGCCATTTCGGCGAACCCCTCACGGGGATCGATAGGGAACTCCACCGAAGGCGTCAGCGGCAGGGTTCGCGTGGCGGCCTCGGGCCATTTCGGCGCGCCCTTCACGAGGATCGTGGCCCCATAGGAGCTCCACCGAAGGCGACAGTAGCGAAGTGCGCATGGCGGCCTCGGGCGATTTCGGCACACCCCTCACGGGGATCGTGGCCCCAGAGGGAGCTCCCCCGAAGGCCCCAGTGGCAGGGTTCGCACGGCGGCCTCGTGCCATTTCGACACACCCCTCACGAGGATCGTGGCCCCATAGGGAGCTCCACCGAAGGCGCCCAGTGGCAGGGTTCCCACGGCGGCCCCGGGCCATTTCGGCACATCCCTCACGAGGATCGTGGCCCCATAATTGTGCTGCTTCAACAACCGCGCCTGGGGGTCGTACTCCGCCTTCTCGACGTGCACCGACGCCTCCTCCCCCATGGCTCTCAAAGCCCCTACTGCTTCTGCTCCTCGGTCAGAGGGACGCCGTCCTTGTCGCCGCCGAAGACGGCCACGAACGTGTTCCTGAGCATGTCGGGCTCCGGCGGGAAGCCGTGGCCACATAAGGAGCGCGGGCGAGGATGGTATCCACAATTGCGGCATTCACATCTGCATAATTATGTTTGGGCCCTTCGCCAGGCTACTTTCCATTCGGCGGTGGACAAGCCTCCCTTTAGCAAACCTCCCCTTAGTGAAAAGGGCCTGGGACCGAATTCGACGGACCTGGACCGCAAAAGTGACGGCCGCGACGCCCTCTCGCGAACCGAACACGGCCAATTCCTTAATCGGCGTGTCAGGGAAGAGCACGACCGTCGGAGCCTTGGGGAGGGGGGGGGGGCACGCAAGGCTTAGTGGGCCGAAAAGCGGCAGGGCCGATTTTTCACCGTTTCCCCAAAAAGTGCCCCTTGAAAATGGAAACGGCAAAAAAGGCGACCGGAAACGGCAACAAAAACGGGATTGGAAACGGAGCGGGAACCTGCAAAAAACGACAACGGAACCGGTAACAAAAACTGCGTCGGAACCGACCAAAAAAAACGGCAGAACGGAACCGGTAAAAAACGGCCCTGTCGTTTCCAGGTCCCACTAGAGGCACAGGCCCGGACCTCCAGCAAACATTCTGTCGAACGTGTCCCCCTACACGGGGATTTTCGAATGGTTTGACAAGCAAGATCCATTCCATCGAGGCGTTGACCCCACATTTCTGCCTCATGGGGCCGCTGCGGGGTCCCGAGACCGTCAAGCAGTTGGCGACATCCGAATCCTACCCCCCCACCAGCCATCGTCTCTCCTGAGCCAACGGGAGGCGGGGGGTTCGGAGCTCGCCACGTGTTCGGCGACTTTTGAACCCTAACCCCCGCCGCCAATCGAGCTGCAAGTTGATCCGCGAGGGCAGGGTTCGGATGTCATCGCCGATCGACAGTGAAACGGGTGCGCGAACTCACTCGCAGGGAAGGGGTCGCAAACCCTGGGTGCCCTGGCGGACTTCTGGGGGGCAGGTGCGAAGCAGCTGCATGTATCTGGCTGGTTGGCACGGGGGCCCCTGACGCCGAAGGCGCCAGTGCTGCAACTGGCGCCTCCGGCGCCTGGCGGCCGAACAAGGCTGCAACTGCATTCAACATAATTAAAAGAACAACGGGTCCCGAGGGAAACGGGTCCTGGACCCTGGGGCCTTCCTCTGGGACCAATTCTTGCAACCGACAAACTCTCTGACATGCCCTGGGGCCGGAAGGGCCCCTGGGGAGTCCGAAAACGGCGAAAAAACACTCAGGACCTGGTCCCGTCGGAACTCGTTTGCTTGGTGGCGACCCCTGAGATCCGACGGCGCGAACAAAACTGTAACAGCATCACAAGTCACGCCCAGAGCCCTGGGCTCCAACTTTCTGCCGCATCCCCAGACCCCCGACGGCGTGATTTTCTCACACCGTGGACCCCCAGACGTCTCGAGCCCTTGCCCGGGACCGGTTTCTCCTCCTGAATCGTTTTTGACGGTCCTTAGGCCCGTAAGGGTCCCCAAGGGGCCCAGGAAGCTTTTTCACATCGCGAGGGGGTCTGGGTCTCTCCTGAATCGACCCGTGAGGGACCCGGGACCCGAAGCCAGGGCGAAACTGCCTGGAGTGGCGCCTGGATCTCAGCATGCGGCGAAGGGGGGAGGAGGAGGAGGAGGAGGCGGAGGAGGGGGAGGAGGACAAGGAGGAGGAGGAGGAGGAGGAGGAGGAGGAGGAGGAGGAGGAGGAGGAGGAGGAGGGGGAGGAGGGAGGAGGAGGAGGAGGAGGAGGAGGAGGAGGAGGAGGAGGAGGAGGAGGAGGGAGGAGGAGGAGGAGAGCCTAGCCCAGAGAGGGGTCAGAGCTAGCCGCGCGACGGGGCAGCGGCGGAGTCAGTACTTCTTCCTGGTGTGGCCGGCACGGTCCGTAGGACCCCGCCCCTGCGCCATGTGGGAGGAGGAGGAGGAGGAGGAGGAGGAGGAGGCGGAGGAGGAGGAGGAGGAGGAGGAGGAGGAGGAGGAGGAGGAGGAAGAGACTCTGCAACCCGACCTTTCGTCCGACCCTGGGCCTTGCCCCTGCCCTTGCCGGCCCCTGCCGGCGCGCCGAGCGCCGGGAAGCTGTCCTCCGACATCGCTGGCGGCGCCTGCACATCAGGGGGCATCTCGAAGGAGGGGAGGAGGAGGAGGAGGAGGAGGAGGAGGAGGAGGAGGAGGAGGAGGAGGAGGAGGAGGCCCACTCCTGGCTTCAAGACCTTCGTGCGTCGCGAGCCGCAATCTTGGGTGAGCCTCGGCCTCTGGGGGCCCTCGCCGGGCCTCGGGGCGGCCAGGGGGCGACTCGGGATTTTTCTTTCCTCGGCCCAAGAACTGTGCAACGGCACAATGCAAATGTCACGGAACACCTCTTGGAGGCCGTGGGCATGCCAAAAGGTCAGGAGGACAGGCGGCCAGGGGACGACTCGGGATTTGTCTGTCCTCGGCCCAATAACTGTGCAACGGCACAATGAAAATGTCTCAGAACACCTCTTGGAGGTTGTGAGCATGTCGAAAAGGTCCGGAGGACAGGTTGTACGCCTGAAGTGATCCAGACCGCGCTCGTGTTTACAAAGGAGAAAGGGGACGGAGGGAATACTATAATGATGATGAGGATGAGAAGGTGGTAGAGGAAGACGAGTCGGGATGAAAAAAAAACGGTTTCTGGGAAGGGGGCCAAGCTCCCTGCAGAGGGATCGACGTCGTGAACAGAAGCGCGACAATTCGGCGGTGGACAAACCTGCCTTTAGTAAACCACCGAGTGGAAACGGCCTAGGACCGAAACCGACGGACCTGGACCCGCCAAAAATGATGGCCGCGACGCCCTCTCGCGAGCCGAAAACGGCCAACTCGCCAATCGACGCGTCAGGGTGGGAGGTCTATCGACCTCCGAACAATGGAGTTCTGGGAGGGGAGCGAGCCCTGGGCCCAAGGGCGCTCCCCTGGACTGGCTACATCCAAAGCTGGTAATTAAGGATGCGCGATAAGGACGCAAGGGCCGTGGACGCCCGCGCCGAGGCTCTTCGAGCGCTATGTTGCTCGCATCGTACTTCGGGACCACCTCCCAGAAACAATTCCGAGCACCCTGAAAAGTGTCGAAACAGTGTCGAACGAGTGTCGCCTTCCAGGGCCCGACACGAGAAAACCCCCAAGTTTCGGTATTTCCTTGGTGCTTGACATTCTTCCTGGTGGTCAAGGCGAAAGTGGGTTGGAACATCATAATTCGAATGGGGCTGGCCATCGAAAGTGGTCAGGACGGACGTAAGATGACCGCAGAGGCAAGGATGCGAGGGCACCCTGGGGAAAGCAATCATCCTTACTATGAAGCTGACAGCACTCGTCCCGGATAGCCCCCCCGTCGCCCAGCTGGACGCAAAGGGTGACCCGGGACCGTTGCTGCGCGCCTTGCCGACCGTTGCACGCGATGCGGCAGCGGCGGCCTGCAAATGCATGCGCGGGTGTGGCCGCCCAACGCCGAGCTTAAAGCGGCGCGCCACAGCTCACTCCGGCGAAGGTCAGGAGCGAAAAAACGACGTACACGTACATGAATCCACGCTGGTTTCGAGAGTTCGCATGGCGCGAATGTTCGTATTACGCGGCTGGTCTCGCGGGTCAAGGGGCCGTGTTCATGTACATAGCTGGGCGCGTACATCCTTTGTGGGCTCCCTAGAAGGGCGTGACCCGCACGCGCATCCGAAAAAAAGGGTCCCAGAGCCCAAGGGAGAGCCCCGGGAGGCTGGCGGCGGCGACCGGTGCCACGCATATCAGGACCTCGGGGCTCCCTGCTGGGCCCGCTCGGCGTCTGCGCTGGTGAAGGGGCCCAAGGACACCTAAAAAAATACACACGAATAACATGGTTCCCCATGTTTTCCCATATCTTCTGGGTTTTTGTCTTCCTCCCCCCACGTCCCATACTTTCCCATATTTTCTGGGGGTTCGACGATCACTTGTATCTGTGTGTTTCTTTCCCTCCTGAGCTGGGCCGCCGAGCGGACTCGAGGTCGAGCCCACTCGGCGGCCGAGCGGGCTCCGTTCCCGCGACCCTGGCGGAGCCGAGCCCGTGGGGCCGCCGACCGACCCGGCGGCGCCGAGCGGGCTCGGCCCCAGAGCGGGCTCGGAGGCAGAAGGGAACCCTGGGGCCGCCGATGCCTCTTCCTCCTCCTCCTGCTCCTGCTCCTCCTCCTCCTCCTCCTCCTCCCCCTCCTCCTCCTCCTCCTGCTCCTGCTCCTTCCTCCTCCCTCCTCCTCCTCCTCCCTCCTCCCTCCTCCCTCTCTCCCCCTCCCCTCGGCCCCAGAGCTCGAGCATCGATCCGGAGCCGCGGCGCAGGCGCCGCACAGGCAGGGGGCGATCCCTGGGGTTCGCCATCGCTCGGACGTCCCTTCCCGTGCGCTTCGCGGCTTCGCGCGCCCATGTTGAAGGGGCCCCAGGACACACAAATAAATACACACAAATAAAAATATCCCCCATGTTTTTCCATATTTTCTGGGTTTCTGTCTTCCCCCCTTCCCATATTTCCCATATTTTCTGGGAAATCGACGATTAATTGTGTCTGTGTGTTTCGTTCCCTCCTGACATGTGTCGCACGAGGACGCGAGATGCTGCTCGACGCTCCTCGCCGAGACACGTCCGAGCGATGCCGAAGGGAACTCGTGTCGACTACACGCAAGAATGGCCCTGCGTAAGAATGACCTTTTGTGCGCGGTTTTTTGGGGGCCGCGGGGGGGGGGGGGGGGGTCAAACACAAGCGCGCAAAACGGTACTATCGCATCGCGCTCGGCGACCGGGGGACCCCGTTGGGCCCGCACCAAAAAAAACTCCAGCGAAAGGTCACTTCTACTTCTGGTCGACGCTTTCTCACTCCGAGCACAAATTTGTAGTCCCGTGGCCAGGCGGGCCCCCGAAGACGGCCCACACCACCTTCGGTCGTGTTATTTTTGTCCTTGCGCGGGAGGGGTTCACTTCTGGTCGATGAGTTCTACTCTCGAGCAGAAATTTGCAGTACCGGGGGCCGGCGGGCCCCCGAAGACGGCCCAAAACAGGTTCCGTCGTACTGTTGTTCCTCAGGAGGGGTTCTGGCGGGCCATCCTCCTGTCCATATCCACTGCAGCTTGAAGCTTAGGACTCCCTTCCCCAGAAGGCGCACTGGATATTGACAAAACAATCTGCCCCCTTGGAGCCTCGACCTAAATGCATATCCAGTGCGCCTCGGCCTTGTGGAGCCTTTCCAAGAGGAGTCCAAGACGTACTGGACATTGAGATTCGCCGGCCCAACCTCTCCCCCCTCTGCGCCAACGAACCTCAATCCTTGCCCCCCTGCCTCCTCCTCCTCCTCCGCTATTTCCGCTATTTGACGCGCCGTAAGGGTCACAGCCCTGAAGCGCAGCGCGGCGGCCGTCGGCCGCCGACAGAGGGGGGAAGAGGGAGGCCCGTTTCAATCCTGGACAGCGAAGGCCTGGAGGAAAGGGGAAGGGAAAAAGACGGGCCCGTTGGGCCCAACACCGGTCGGCGAAGGGCCCGAGGGGGCGAGGGCCCGCGGGGCCCTGGCCTTTGGCTCGGCGAGGGCCCACCCACCTCGGTGGGACCTAGCTGAGCTCGTCCGCGTGGTCGGGGGCGGCGGGGCCCTCAGGTCGCGTCGAGGGCGGCGACCCCGCCCGCCCCTGGCCTCCGTGATGCGCTCCCTCTGGTCCAGCGCGAGGTGCTCCGCGTCGCGCGTGCGTCCGCGGTGTGCACCTGCCGGTCCAGCGCCTGGAGCTCTGCTTGCCGCAAGTCTGCGGGGCTCCGCTCCTGGCCTCCCAGCTGTACGCCAGCTGGCCAAGCGCGCGGAGCTCCGCGTTGCCGCCGGCCTCCATGATGCGCTCCCTCTGGCCCAGCGCGAGGTGCTCCGCGTCGCCGTGCGTCGCCGGGTGCACCTGCTGGTCCAGCGCCAGGAGCTCTGTGTTGCCGCCGGTCTGCGGGAGCTTCAGCGCTTGGCCTCCCAGCTGTGCGCCAGCTGGCCCAGCGCGCGGAGCTCCGCGTTGCCGTCGGCCTCCATCGCCTGGTCCCCAGCGCGAGGAGCTCCATGGTGCCGTCGGCCTCCGCGATGGCCCCCAGCGCGAGGAGCTCCGCGATGCCGTCGGCTTCCGCATTTTCTCCTTCTGGCCCAGCGCGAGGCGCTCCGCGTCGCGGTCGGCCTCCTCGATGTGCCAGTGAGCCTGCCTCGTTGCTGGTGGGCTCTTCGTCTTGTCACAGTCACCTTGGTCATGAACTGGTTGACTGCGTTGGGCTCTTCTCCTGGTACGGTTCCCAGCCGATGAAGTAGTGGTCGTGCTGGTTAAGGTCGATGGGGGTCGGCTTGTTGCTGGTAGGTGGAATAGATTGCGGGCGCACTCTGGCCTCCATGCACCGACTTCAAGCAGGGTTCATGGCGGCCCTGCCTCGTCCCGCTATGGCTAGGGGTCACGGTGCCCTCGGTGGGGGCGAACCCCAGGCCAGGTGATTCTTCTGCTGTCGATGAGGAAGGTCAACGCTGCCCTATGCTACGCCCTTGGGCGCTCGGGAGCTCCGTCTCCGCCATGGGAATGGTGGGGGTGGCGAGCTAGGGCGGACCGCGGGGGCGCGGGCAGTACTCGTCCTGCCCCCCCCCTGCCCCTCACCATCCCCCCTGGTGGGCGCGGGCAGTCCTCGTCCTGCCCCCCCGCCCTTCGAGCCCGTCTCGAAGTTTGATCCTTGCCTCACCAGGGCAACGTTGACTGGTACTTGGTGCAGTTGGGGTCATCGGGCTGGTACTTCTGAGCCCTGGCTGTACGGCGGCCGTGTCCGTCACTATGCAAAACGTGGCGACGTGAGCCTGGGGTGTTCCCTCGCATTCGGGGCTTCCCCAGGTCTTGCGTCCTGACAACTTGTGCAAAACTTGGCGACGTAGCCTGAGGTGTTCCCACGCATTCGGGGCTTCCTCAGGACTTGCGTTCTGATTCTTTTGTACATGTCGTCAAGGCGCTTCGTCACGATCCTCGTTGTCAGCCTGTGCCCGAACAGCTCCTGTCGAGGTGGCGGCCCTGCCGATTGCCTTGTCGGGTCGGTCCTGCCGGGCCCACTCCCTTGCCTCTTCCAGCCAGGTCGGTGAGCCGTTCTGCCT